TCCTGGGAGTGCAGTATGATTCAGTGGTAACTTAGTCATTTGCACACTCTACAAGATTATTTTACTAAAGGGGGAAAAAAAATAAAGACTGTACTTATCAGCAGAACACTTTGTGTTAAATACAGATAATGAAAGCATCAACAATCTATCTATTTTATGTTTAATTAGCCCCTCTTTCATCATAATTTGTTACTGAAGGTCAAATGTGGATCGCTTTAAAAAAACTCATTGTAAAATATTTAATATAATGCAAACTGAGAATAGAAAACTGAAATACATTTCTGGACACCTTGCTCTGAACAGTTTTGAAGTTAAATATCTTTAAAAAGATATTTTTAAAAAGCTACCAATGCAAGTGTTTATAACGCAAGTATTTAAGAACAAGTTCTTATTTTTTTTCTGCACATTACCCAGTGTTTCTATTACATTGTAGAATGTTTATTAAGGTGAAAGTTATTGAAAAACTTTACTACTGAAAGACGCTATGTGATTTTAAATGGCAGTCTTTGATCTAAGTTTACGCATGTATGTGTCTGTCTGTACATTAAAAAGCATGCTTTCCTGCACTGTTAAGCAGATTGATCCCTTAATATATCAATTTTGGTTCCCATTACGGCTCTTGTTACACGTGCATGCTTATAAGGAAACTAACCAATTTATATGAATAGATACAATTCAACTGCCTAATAATCAAGTAGCCAAAACACACCTGCAGTGCAACAGACTGGATAACATTTGGAAGATTATGAAACAGATTATTTAATTACTTTACAAAAAAAGTTCTTCAAAAAATTATTTTTATATATTTTACCTTCTCAGAAATTAAATTTTGGTGAAATGTTTGTAAATTTCTTCAAGTTCCATTTCTTCCCTAGTCATGGAACATCCCAAGTTGCTTTTGTAACATCAAGACACGTATTCAGCCTTGATTAGTGTGTCAACACACTCTGATGTCCTAAATGTTTCTCTTCACTCAATAGTACATTTCAAACGAGGAAAGGCATAGGAGCAATTCACAAAGAACTGATCAGAAAAGAATATACTCCAAGAAAAGTAATAATGCTGCTCAGAAATCCCTGTACTGGTTCTTCTAGCTGAAGATGGTGACCTGCAGCTCTTACATAAAAATGAGCAAATAAAGTAAAAAGCACAGTCTTTCATGTAATCAAAAAACATTCTTTGTTGAGTGGAAAAAATAAGAGAGAAGTTAAGAGAAAATGATGAACATAAAAAATAAATACACATATAAACAGGCTTTTCTTCAAAAAGGCTTATTCTTCTAAGAGAGGTCATTAACATGCTAATCTCATAGTCACTATGAGAAATTTCAGTGAAATAAATCCACTCACCTGCTATTAGTTTGATGGCAATGAAAGTGCAGAAAACAGTATGTACTAAAAAACATATACTTGTAACTAATTTGAGGAAATACACAATTGTTTACAATAGTAAAGTAAGATTTAGAATTATATTTAAGGATGCAATTCTCCAAATCACTGAGTGATTGCTGCTATGCACTGGGCTTTCTTTGCTGTCTTTGTTAGAAGTTGACAGTACCCTGGGCGATGACTGGCAATGCTCAGCACCAGGAGGGTTCAAATTTTACATCTACAGTCCAGAAAAACATTTCCTTAGATGCATTCTGATACAGCACAATACTTCTGTACAAGTTTAACTTTGAGCAAATGATTAAGATTGATGAAACGTTAAGGGATTTAAACATTAGCTTGCCAGATGTGTAAGAGCTTTACAGAATAGGACAGAACAGCAAAGTGGGAGGCTAAAAGAAAATTTCAGAGAATACTACTACGCAGAAAAGGACAAGGGTAAGTTTAAAAAAAAATTGCATTTGGACACCTTCTAGAAAACATCTAGAACATCTTCCAGAAAAGAAAGTGTATCAAATGCAAAATTTAGCTTTAATCTTCATATAAAATACTTAAAGGAGGGGAGTTACAAATTGTTTTTAGCTTTCTCCCATTTATTTCTGCTATAACACATTTTATCAAACAAGATGTATTTGGGAACACGTGTGTAACACACTACCTTAAAAAGGAAGTGTCAAATGATAAGAAGGAAAACAGCTTATATTCACTGGGGAACACCAATCAGTCACCTAAGTAGAGATTTACTTTCCTGACAGTGATACTGTGAATATGTGGAAGTATCAATTACCTGTTCTAACTACGTTAATGGAAAATGAGCATTGCTCTCATCTCTAATAACTTAGAACAAATACATCCAGCTATGTCCATTTATTTATTTTAAAGCTTCACACATCCTTTAAAATCTCCTTAGAACAAAGGAAACTGTCAATAATTAAATAAAGGCAACCAGAGGCATTTCACCAAATCTCCCTATTGTGGTCACATTACTATGCCATTGGCTCTATTTCATATGGACAGCTGAACTATGAAACACTCCAATATACACCACATCATACACATTTATCTGCAATTGTCTCACATCACTCTCTCAAGAACATGCCAAACAAGTATTTCACCTGGTTTGAGCATTAAAAATGCTAGTGTACTTTTTCCTGATAAACAGATAAAACACTCCATTATCAGTGTTTGAGAAGAGAAAGATCTACATCTTATTAATGCAAATATCTCTTCATGAGTGCAAAAGCAAGAACAAAACTACATAAACATCACTCAGTATCAAGCTGGTAAGTACTCATAAGAAACCATTAGCAGAAGTTTTATGCCCGAGGTTCTCTGCTTTAAATTCTTATTTGGAAACTTTCCTTAACTAAGAAGCACACTTTACAAGCATACAAGTACTTTCCACGTATTTAAAAATTCAAAGACAAGGCATTAGACCATCTGCTATAAACTATTCAGGTACACTCACTTTCACAAGCTACACGTTTAGCACAGGAAACCTCACAAACACTGGGAAACTAGCTGCGTAAAAAGCAAGTAAATAACAGAGCAACTAAGAATACATTCTTTCAGTTTGACTGCTGCAAGTGGAAGTGTAATAAAGCCATTTTCTTCTACAAAGAAGAAAGATTATGTATCAAAAATATATGGTTGCAGAACGTTAAGTAAACCAAAGAGTATTTTTGTAACATAACTTCAGATAAGGTTATTAATCAAGCAAAATAGTAAGCTGCAATCCTTTACCACTGGCAAATTTAGCACGCAAGTCATTTTTTTACATTGAAAATAAATTACACTACTGACAGTTTTTAATTCATGTTTAGATGAATTGCAGCAGCAAGACAGAAGTAGCATCTGATTAGCATTTGTTTCACTTCTACTTCGCTGGTCCAGTACTCACTAAAAAGGCACAATCTGCTTTGTGCTTAATAAGTCTTACTAGATGGAAGCTCTGGAACTTTTTCAGTACTTTGTATTTTACAAAGACTGTATTTTAAAACTGAAATTATAAGATCACCTCCAGAGGTAATGAAATATATCACCCAGAAACTACCACATCAAATGTTCTATAAAACATCTGTGTGACATACGCAGAAATACTGGCAAAAATACTTCAGCCACAAACTATTGTTGATCTGGAAGACGGTGTGACTTCATTTCCTTTTACACTAAAAATCTTTTTTTTTTTTTTTTTTTTTGTCCTGCACAGAATACAAGTACTGGTTACATAGTGTAAAACTTCAATTGTAGTAGTCTAACAGACATTTCAAAGTATAAAAAATGTCATACTGTGCCATATTTGCATGTTAATAAGGTGGAAATAAAGCATTTTTGTCAAACTAATCAGTGTGTTCCTGTTTCAGGCTTGGCTCTCTATTCACATGAATCAGCATTCATTTATCTCTAGATTCTTGTGTAACACACGCTGGAGCTGAGAGGACACACTTCGAATATTATCTTACACGGAAGGATGCAAAGGGAATCACCCAGCGTTTAAAACACCTCATTTCACAATCCGTAAAAGTATGCCCAAAAAGAAAATCATTTCTGTTCAGGCTACATACGTGCCTTATGAAATTAACAAACCTTTCATTTAGGATCTCCTTTCCCCGCTATGCTAGTCCTCTACTGCTGTGTAAAGCAGTTCCTGCCATTAGCAGTTTTACTCTACTGGGGCCTCACTGCACCGACCTGCACGGCACAGCCGAGATCAGAGCCGGGCACTGAAAGCGCTGCTGAAGGAAGGCTCAGTGCGCTCACATTGCTCTCGGGGAAAGCAGCCGCTCTGCTAGCAGAGCCGTGCAGAAGCTGGACTTGAAAATTACGGCCCCTCGCTTTGAGTTAATGACTTTCATGTGATGTGCATTAAGGGAAGAAAAAACGGGGGAAGAAAAAAAGAGGAACGGAAGCATGCTAAGGTCCGATTCTAAGCTCACTAACCTTTATGTGTATTCAGAGCAACTGCTGAACATCAGTAAAATCTCAGTGATGTATATCAGACCATTTATAGGCTTTCTAGATTGTGAAAGCGCCGCAATTCTAATGAACGAGCTGATAATTACAGCCATTTGCGTTTCAGCGCGGCGGTTGCACACCCACTCTCACTGACCCTCTTAAATGCGAAACTTTCAGTCCCCAGCCGGAGCTCACCGCATGCCTGGGACTCAGACCCTCCCCATCCCCGAGTGAGACTGCTGGGCTGCGCCGGACAACCCAGGCGGTGCTCCTGCCCACCTCCCCAACAACGGGACCTAACGGGCTGCGGGAGCCGACAAAGGGTCATCCCGGGCTGCGCGCAGCTCGCCGCCTGAATTAACGGCCCGCCCCCAGTCCGGCTGCGCTGTGAGGGAGGGGGGCTCCGAGCCCGGCACCTCCCAGGGGCGGTACCACAGAGTCAGTGTGGGCTCTGCAAAGTGGGATTTACAACGGAAATAGTAAAAACAGCCATCCCTGACCGTCCTTCCTGCCTGGTGTGTGTCCAGGTATGCTCCCGGCACCAGACTGAAGGGGTGATGCATCTGACGGTGACAGACACCGCCACCCCTTATGCAATGTGTGTGCATGACCGTGTGCTCGCATGTGTGCGTGCCCGACGCGGGGCGCTGCCCTTACCTGCTTGCTGTACTTGCTGCTGGCCTGGCAGCTGTACTCGGAGCAGTGGTCCGAGCCAATGGAAATGTTGTCACCAGCGCCCACGAAGGTGTTGGCAGGGGGCAGGTCCTGCACAGCCTGGTGCTTTTTGCCAGCAGTGGGGGACTGCGGGTGCAGCTGCACGGTGGGCAGTGGTGAGCTCGACTTGTAATGCCGGGCTAGGTCGGGGCTGCCCGGGCCACCATTGACTGAGCGGTAGCGGCCCATGCCAGGGCTGTCCGAAAGCTTCTCATTCACGCTGTCATAGCGCTGCCCATTGGGCTTGGAGGCCTCGACAGTGACGATGCTGCTGTAGAGAGGCTGCTTGCCCTTCTTGCCTTTCTTGTCCTTCTTGGGCTTCTTGGCCTTGTCATGCTGCTGTGGGGTGAAGAAGTCCTCATGGTCCTTCTTGCCAGCCTCATAGCCATGCTTGCCCTTGGAGCGGCAGTAGCGGGCCATGACCACCACCAGGATGAGGAGGATGACAGTCATGATGCCAGCCACTACACCAATGACAATGCTGAGGCGCTGTTTGCTCAGCTCATAGCTGGGATCACCAGCAATGTCCTGGGCCAGAGGTGTGTGAAGGCTACGTGCCACCTGGCCCTCCACTACAGTGGCATTGGACAAGCTCTCATTGACAAAGACGTGGAGCAGGGCAGTTGTTGACTGGGGTGGCTGGCCACTGTCATTCACTTGCACAACGAGGCGGTGCAGGCCATAGTGCTTAGGGGCCAGCTTGCCCACCAGTGATACCACGCCACTGGCTGGATCAATCTCAAAGAGCTTGAAGGGGTTTCCTCCGACAATGCTGTAGTTGAGGTCAGCATTGAGGCCGGTGTCAGCATCAGTTGCAACCACCGTGGCCACTACAGTGCGCATGTTGCTGGAGGGTGGCAACACAGTGTAGGAGCTGTTGCTGGGGAAGGTAACAGTGGGCGCATTGTCATTCTCATCCATTACAAAGAGGGACACAGTAGCAGTGGCCGAACGTGACGGCTCACCCCCATCCACCGCCTTCACTTTGAAGGTGTAGCTGGTCTGCTGCTCCCGGTCAAATGAGACTGTGGAGTAGATGGTTCCTGTGTCATTTTCAATGGAGAAGATGCCAGTCGCCTGGTCATGATCACTGGGCTGTATGGAGAGGCTGAGCTCAGCATTACGCCCCTTGTCAAAGTCCATCACAGTCACCATGCCCACGGGACTGTTGGGCTGCAGGTTCTCCTTCACGTAGAAAGTGAACACATCCTGCATGAACCGCGGCTCATTGTCATTGCGATCTGCCACCCGCACCACCACCATGGTGGAGCCCTGCAGTGATGGCACCCCTTTGTCTCGGGCCGTCACTTGGAACTCATAGGTGTCACGCTGCTCACGGTCCAGCACCACTTGCACAGACACATCCCCAGAGTCGGGGTCAATGCTGAAGATGCCACTTGGTGACTCTGAGGAGAGGGGTGAGGGCTCCAGGGAATAGGTGAGCTCGGCATTCTTGCCACTGTCCGCATCTGTGGCCACAACTGTGGCCACCCTCTCACCAGGCAGATTGTTCTCTGGGAAAGAAACCTCCAGCACAGCCTGGCCGAACACAGGAGGGTTGTCATTAGTGTCTGCGACCCGCACTAGCAAGGAGTTGTTACTGGACAAGCTGGGGCTGCCTGAGTCCACAGCAACGATCACCACATTGTAGTCACGTACAGCCTCATAGTCCAGAGGGGCTGAGGTGTGGAGGAAGTACTTGCGCTTGTTCTGCGGCTCCCCTTCACCTTCACTGGCTGGCTTGAGCTGGAAGGGCACATCCCCCACCACGGTGCAGGTCACCACACCGTTTTCGCCTTGGTCCCGATCTGATACCTGCACCAGGGCAATGGGGGTATCCACCAGCACATCCTCAGCCACGCTGGCCACTCCATCCCTCAGTGGGATGCGCCCAATCTTCCGGATATCAATGGTGGGCACATTGTCATTCTCATCACGGATGTTCAACACCACCGTGGCCTTGTCTGTCTTAGGGGGCTGCCCACGGTCCCGGGCCATCACGGTGAAGCGCAGCTGGTTAACCTCCTCACGGTCAATGCGGTGCAGGACGCTGAGCCACCCTGAGGTCTCATCCAGCCGCAGCAGCCGCCTCACCGACTCGGTGGCTGCCCCAAAGACGTATTCGATCTGCCCATTCACCCCTACATCCAGGTCGGTGGCTCGCAGCTGCAAGATAGGGGTCCCGGGGCTGCTGTTCTCCGCCAGGTCGGCCTCGTAGACGCTCTTCTCGAAGCGGGGGCTGTTGTCGTTCACGTCGGTGATCAGCACGCGCAGGATGGCCTGTGAGGAACGCGCGGGCTCGCCGCCGTCGCGCACGCGCAGGCTCAGTTCGTAGGAGTCCCGCTGCTCACGGTCTAGCGCCCCCTTGACGATCAGCTGCGGCTGCTTCTCCCCGTCCAGGGTGTCGGCCACCTGCAGCTCAAACACGCTGCTGCGGGCCTCCGCCTCCTGCCTCCGTTTGCTGCCGCCGGGGTAGAGGGCGCTCTCCGAGCCGGCCGCCGCAGCACCGCCCCCGCCGCCGCCGCCAGCGCCGCCGCCGCCGCCGCCGCCGCGCCGTCCCCCGTCCCCTCCGGGTTCCTGCAGCAGCTCGTAGCGCTCGATGCCGTTGCGGCCGAAGTCCCTGTCGGTGGCGGTGGGGAGCAGGTAGAGGGTCCCCACGGGCCGGTTCTCCTCCACGGTGAGCGTGAGGACGGGGGAAGGGAAGGTGGGGGTGTTGTCATTGATGTCCAGGATGATGACCCGGCCCTCGAAGAGGTCCACCCAGCTCTGCGAGGGGCCGATGACCGACACCTCGAAGTCCAAGAAGCACTCGTTCTCGTCGAAGATCATCTGGCACTGCGGCAGCTTCTCGCGGTCGATGCGCCGCTCCGTGGTGCTCAGCTCCCCGGTCATGTTATCGATCTTGAGGTAGTCGGAGCCTGATTCCAGGCTGAATGTCACCTCTCCGGAGCCCGTCACGATGCCCAGGTCGGCGGCCACGTTACCGATGCGGATGTCGGCGGGTCCCTCCTCGGCCAGCCGGTACCTCAGCAGCTGCTTGGCCGCTGCCAGGCTGACCCTGAGCGGCGGAGGCAGGAGGAGCAAGAAGCAGCAGCAGCAGCAGTGCACAAAGCCGAGAAGAGTCCGCATTTTTCTCATCTTCTTCTCCCCGGCCCCCCCCCCCCCCCCCTCCTCTCGCTCCCCGATAAACTCCCTTGATGAGCCAACAGAGCGGCCGAGCGAGCAATTATAGAATCCTTCTGCTCCCGGAAACTTAGCGCCTCATGGCTGGTGCAATCGGTGGGCAAAACCCCGCTGCAGCCTCCTCCGCTGCTCGCCCTGCCTCCCAGCTGCGATATACTTACAGTTCACGGGACAGTGTATTTTGCTTTTTAAAGATTCATCTCGGCAGATAGGATGGGATTTTCCTCCTCCTCCCCCTTCTCCTCCTCCTTCTGATTTTACTGTAATCACTTTGCAAGGTTTGCAATAAAAGCCGGAGCAGCACCGTGCGATCTGAAGCCCCCCAGGTCGTCTTCTTCGACACCGGAGTTAACTACAATTCACACTCTCTCTTCTCTCTCTCTCTCTCGCCCTCTCAGTCGTTCACGACAAACGCATTAGATTTATTCTCTCCCCTATCTGCACACACAGGAAAAAAATGTGATTTGCTTTATTCAACGGGCTCATGTCCGGGAGAACTCCAGATCCTCTTAGCATGGGCAGCTCTTCAAAAATATTAATAATAATTTTAAAAGATAAGGAAAAAAAAAATGAAAATCCCAATAATGTCGGTAGCTGCACAATGGGTAGCAGAAGCACCCCTTGTATTACAGAGCAGTCCGTGGAATATCCCCTTTGGTTGGCAGAAAAGCACCTAAATCCATCTTCAGAGATCGCCTACAATGTTCAGCTCTTTCTCCGGAGAGGATTTTTTTTTACCAACTCTGCGCAAGGTCATTAGTCACAAAGCAACGAGACAGAAACTGCAGAAGCCGTTTGCCCGGAATTTGCAAGGCTGTAGATCTGAGCACACACACACCACAGTCCCAAGTTTGTTTTCGCATCCGCGGTTTGTGTGTGTGCCTTACCTGCATTTGCACTGCATGTGTTATAGCAATCTGGAGCTGCAGCACTGAGCGCGATTCACAAATGAGATTGCAGTCTCTCTCTCCCTCTCTCTCCTCTCTCTCTCTCGCCTCTTCCTTCCCGTCCCAATGCAGGTAACCAGATCTGAACTCGATCCTTTCAGTTCAAAGGTTAGCGACAAAACTATGTGTCCAAAGGCGATTATTGGTCTCTCGTTAACATACCCGGAGCGGAACGAGGTGTAACTGGATCCCCCACGTGAATTAACACGGATTCTGAATTACATCCATATAAGCGGAATGGCAAAGGGGAGGGGAAGAGAGCCGCGACGCGATTAAAAAACCACACGGAGTTCTATTTGCGAATAAAATGCAATCAGTCAGTTGTTTCCTGGGGTCTGCACAGCTACGGCGGGTGAAATCTGCGATTGTGTATTCCCTCCTGTGCCTTTCAGAGCAGTGTGGCTCGGGAGCTTTCACGGCAGAGCAGCTTGTGCTTTAAAATGCTGAATGGCAACTGAGGAGCTTCCCACTCGGAAGGAAAAAAAAAAAAAAAAAGCTGTTAAACCGGCAAGTTTGCCCAAAGTGGTGGGAGCTGCTGGAGTCTCTTTCGGCAGCTCTTCCCTGACGCTGCAGCACAGCCGCCTGCTCTACATGCACAGAGAGAGGGAGAGAGAGAGCGAGAGAGGAGGGAGGAGGAGGAGGAGGGAGGAGGAGGACGAGCCAAGCGCTGCGCTCCACAAGCCCAGCCTTACCCTCTGCCTGCCGCGGCTGTGCTGTTCTATGCTGCGCTGAGAGCGGGATAGCTCAGCTCTCAGAGCCAGCTTTGCTGCTGCTGCCGCCGGCTCCAACCCGGCATCTGGAGCGATTCTTTCCTACTCACTCCCTCCCCACCTCCGCTGTAGACTGTGAACCGAGCAACGATTTTTTAAGCAAATGTTTACTCGCCTTTCTCTTAGGCAGAGCTGCTGCACGTTGGGGGCTCTGCGTTTTGCGGAATCGTGCTGGTAAGGAAACTCGTTTAGCACAGATTCCCACCTCCCCCTTTCGCGTCCGTGCTGCTGTGACATAGCTGCAGTCCCTGGAACTGCTCATAACCCCGGGGAGGAGGGAGCTGCCCCTGACCTCAGGCTTTCGTCCTGTTTCCCATTGCTATTGAAGCCTTTCGGGTTTTGTGCTCGTGTACTTCCGATTGCCATGATCCGAATGTGTTCTTTCAGCGTGTTTGTGGGTTTCCAAGCATTAAAAAAAAAAAGAAAAAGAAAAAGAAAAAAGTCAGGAATGGGGTTGAGAGGGTCAGGAGAACGAGCACATGTATAAGTCATCACAGATTTATTTTCAAACAGAGAATTTCTGCTTCGATGATTGCTAAAATGTAGCGTCACCTACCAGGGTGAGAGGGAAATAAACTTTAACGTGGAACCTCTCCACTCAACTTTGTTTATTCCTGCGTCTCCTGTTCGCTTCTCCTTTTGACTTTGTGCTATTTAATTGTCGATGGCATCTACGTGCCCCTGCCCCCGCGCCTCTGGTGAATCCCGCGGCTGTACTGTCCTCTCGGAACTCGGGGGACAGAAGGGAGCAAGGGCGATGCGAGGCCTCCAGTGGGAAGCAGCCCAGTGTGTGAGCAGCGAGGGCACGACTCCAGCTGCTCCCCCTCCCCCGCGTGCTCATGTGGGAAAACAAGTTACTGCGGGTTCTGTATGTGAGGGCTTCTGGCATTACACGGTACACGGTAATTCTGAATAAAAGGAAAGAAAAAAAAAAAAAAAAAAAAAAAAAAAACTCATGAGGGCGAGTATAGCGAATTGTCTTTCATTCACCGCGATGACATTTGAGAGAAAGTGGCCGGATATTGAGGTGGTTCAAAGCTCTGCTCGCAGTGTGCCTTTGTCATTCGGGGCGGTGAGTGAACGTGGGAGGGAGGGAAGGTTGCCACCTCTTTCCCTGGGGTGCCCCGAGGGGCAGAACCACGCTGTGTGGAGCGGGGGCGGGAGGAACCGCTCCGGAGGTCTGCGGAGTTTCTTCCCGGCCCGGCCACTCTCGCCAGGACGCACAAACCCACCCCCACAAATGCCGGAGATTCTCGGCATTATATCTGCAGCATCAGCGAGAAAGCGCGGCTCGGCGCAGGCTCAGTGCTCATAGCCGCAGTCCCGGCCGGAGGAGGGGGACTCGGCAGCTCAGCATCTTCGCAGCGGGTTAAGTAGGATTAATACCAAATCCCTATTATATTTACCGAGCAACTTGAATTTATCAAAATTCCCCCTCGCTGTTCTGGAGCTCCGAGAGGAGGAAGTGTAAGATGCCGACATAGCAGCACGCAGGGAATGCCAGCGCACTGCATCACACTGCTCCCCGCACCAGCCACACTATCGCAACCCGAAGATCCCACTATTCCCATCCCTTTGTGCTTTATAATGCGATCGGGACACTGAATGGCTTCGCCAGAGGAAGGGCGGGGTGGGAGAGTTTGTAACCTCCCCGCCATAAACTTTAATCGGATTCGGGGCTGTTGCACTGCGCGGACTCCTCTTGGCCGCGGCTTCTTCCCCGTTGTCCCCTATATCTACTACCGCGGTTTGCTAGGCGAGTGCGTTTTCCAAGCGAATGAGTGATCTCTTTCTCTTGCCATGTGTAGTGTCCCCGTCCCCATCCCCCACTCCCCTCTTGCCCCCCGCCCCGTTCCCGGCCTCCGTACACACACTGCGCCTTTCACACTCGGGCTGCCCCGGCCCCCCTCCCCTTCTCTCTCCTTTGCAGTGTCTTCACATGCAATCTCTCTCTGAATGTGCAATGTCTTTTCTGCTCGGGAGTGCTTCGTCCTTCACAGTGGATTGGTTCCTCTTTCGGAGCAGAGGTAACAGCCCCCCTCCCCCTTCTCCATCATTCCCCCTTCCTCCCCCTCCTCCTTTTCTTCCCCCAGGGCAGGCAAACGGCGTGGGAAATGGGCCCGACGTGCGCTGCATGGTGGATGGCAGCGCCGCTCTCGCTCCACGTGTCCCGGCTGCCTGGAGGGGGCCGGGGTGGCCTGCCCCCCCCCTCCTCATCCCGCTATTTCGTTTCGTGCTGGGGAGATGGGGGGGAAGGGAAGCCCAGCCACCCCCCGGCGCCGCGGAGCGCCAGTCCCAGCGGCTGCGGGAGGGGGAGAACTCCCCCCTCCCCGCCCCCCGGGCAAAGCTGTTGCGCAGCGCAGCCCCCCCCCCGCCCACCCGATGCACACAGACGCCCACACGCGCTCAGACATTTGTCCTCCTGATCTGGTGAGATCAAGTGGGAAGCGGGATCGCCAGCGTAATCGGCTGTAATAAATAAAATAGCCCGAGATACCGGAGATATACAGAGGGGAAATAAGAGCTTGTGTCCTTAAAGGGAACATCTGATAAGGCCACGGAGGTGGCATCGTGCGTGTGGGAAGGAATCCGTCTTGCTGACATTCGCAGCCTGCTGTACGTGGGGAATCCTAAAGCAGGCTGGAAGCTTCCCCGCTCCTCTGCACCCCCAACGCTGCTTTCGGAAGCTCTGCAGAGGGGCTTTCCTATTGTGGCAGTGATTGGAAAGACGGGCTCACGGCTGAGATATGCAGATGCCATTAGCATTTGTTCGGCTGTGTTCCGGCCATCCCTGCACCCTCCGCCCCCAGCCTGGGACGGTTCGGTTCTGCAGGTGGGGAATGTCGGTGCATCCGACCAGAGATTTACCTCTGCTCTGCAGTGGGAGCCAACCTCAAGAGACGGGTTATTTAATCATCTATATAGCTTCGTGCATTAATCAATGCATATTATTATTAGTTTGTGCGCACGCAAGCACGCGCATCAAAGAAGGGGGGAAAAAAACAGGTGAGCTAGGAACTAACATAATTCATAATAATACGAGGAAAAGGTTAAATACAGTAAACATGACAGCAAATTCGAACGCGGGGGAAAAACAACGACAAAAACCCCGCAGAAAGCAGTTTAAACCGTTTGACTGAAGGGAGAAACTAACTCAAGAACTCCACCAAGGGACAAACAGAGGAAATGACACCACAACAGCGCCAAGCCCGCGTTGACCTTTCATCTCTCTAAAGTG